TTTCTGGGCAAAAGTCAGGGGGTAAGACAGGAAGACGAGCAATATTTCATACATATTCAAAAAATAATATTTCATACATATAAGATCCCATTCCCATCCCAGATACCTAATAATAAAATCATTTCTTTATTTGAAAACCCGGAGCTTCCTTGAAAGTTCGTGGAAATGTGCATGGCTTGTAGTTGAAAGCAGGCACCAAAAAGTCATTCTTCCTTGGCTGAAGTTAGCAGATGGGTGCTGAGTTGATTGGTAACAGAGTCCATAGCTTGGTCCTTGGGGAACTATAACTCCTTCCCAAGGACCCGGCCTCCTGCCCGGCCCCCTTTCCGAGGTCTCCTGGGGGCAGCTGCAGCAAGTCCCCGGTTGCGGAGCTAGGCAGGAACGAGCGGCAGCAAGGGGAAATTGGCGGTTTTTGCAGAGCCGGCGAAGTTTGACAATCAGCTGTTTTCTGTCAAATTATATTCTTTAAAATAAAAAGATTATTTCCTGGCCGTAGGGATCCAAAGTGAGAAAAGCAAGATAGCAGTTCAGTTAGGAATTAAGCATAGAAAAATATGGCATCAAAACGGGGTCAATCCGCCATTTTGAGATTTTAGCGGATACTGAGATCCGAAAGGCAGATCCCCATATCCGCGGTTCCAATTGACGCAGATTCGGCCTCCCCGGGACGCCAGAAAGGCATCCCAGGCAGGCCCGCAGTTGCCCGGAGCCTGGAAAGAGGTTTATTTCATGCTTGGGTTAGCTTAGGCAGAGAAGGACACAAAGTATCAAGTGGAAAGGTTAAAAAGTTGCAATTTTCAAGTACTTTATTAGGGATTAGATACAAAGTCAGGGCTTGGGGGAAAGTGTTGAAAACTGAAAGCAGTCCTAGTCTTGAGCTGTTTGTTTGGGCACATTTCATCAGCTGATCCCAATCTTTGCCTCCAGGAACTGCGGAACTCTCCACTGCGGTGCAGACCAATTACTGGGCGGGGGCTCTCGACACCAGCAACACACACAAAACGTGGCTGTTCCAGTGTGCCTTCCCTGAATAAAGGAAATATTTCCCTCAGAAGCACTTTAACTATCCGTTGGGTTGTTCTCCCTACATTTCCTTTAAAACCCTCTTACTAGATACATCCTACCTACCTCTGTTGTTATTATTATTATTATTATTATTATTATTATTATTATTACAACAACAACAACAAAACAAAAACCAAGGCATCTGTCACCATAGGGCAGTTGTCACAAATCTTACCCCACAGACAGCAACTTGCATCATGGCATCAAGGCCTCCCTCTGGTACATCCAGGTTCCCTGATATATCCTGTTTTCCGACTTCTTGTTGAAACCGCTGCACATCATCTGTGAGACTGAGCACATGTCTGAAAGCAAATGGTGGTTGGCAATTGACTCCTTTGACTGGACAGGGATTTTGCAGCTTCTCGGGGTGTGTGTTAACAAAAGGCAGCACCGTCTTATCCACAAAGGCACCAAATCCTAAAAGAACATGGAGGAAGTTTGATCTGAAACATTGTTTAGAATCTAGTTAATTCCTCTGAGTAAAAACAAAAATAAGCTTTTTAAAACTACTACTGCAAAGATTTTTTTGAAGTGGTTTAAAGTATTGGAAGAAAACAACCATGTTGCTTGACCAGAAATGTACCTACCGACACGAGCATTTTTGGTCATGCGTCTGAGAGCATTAAACAGCTCCCCACCTAGCTTCTTCACAAAGACCAGATCATCTTCCATAGAGTAAGAGAGGTCCATCAAGTAGTAGAGATCTATTTCATAATCCTCCCCACGGTGGAATGTCACGTTAAAAGAAGCAGTAAAATCTGTCAGTAAAAAATAAAAGAATGAGCATTTGAACTGGTGCATCAAACAAAGCTTGAGAATCTCCAGTAGAGTATAGATAGCACGCAACCACCTTCTTCAGCTTGGCAACTGCAAGGTTCTCCCACTTTGGAGATTGACTGCTCATTCAGTAAGACTAAGGGACTGGGAGAGTGTGGGGAATAAAAAAGTAAGCTAATCAAGGAATTTGGGATGAAGAGAACGATGGGTAGAAGAGCAGAGGAGAACGGTAAACAGACAAGGACCTGGGTGAAGATGATTATGTTCACAGTCAAGAAAGTGGAAAAATATGCAAAGAAACACAGAACAAAATGAGAGAAGCAACTTGGACCTAACATAACTGAAATGGGCCATTTTGAATTTGCATATTTTTACAGTGGACACCCAATCTCTCTCTTCCCCCCCCCCCCCCAAGTTGGTGTTACGTATCTTCAAGTAGATTCTGACTTATGGCAAGACTTATAGACATGAGTGKGTCATAACTTTTCTCTAAGCATAGTCTATAGCAGGGGTCCTCAAACATTTTAAACAGAGGGCCAGGTCAAAGTCCTTCAAACTGTTGGAGGGCCAGATTATAATTTGAAAAAAGCAGGAATGAATTCCTATGCCCTCTGCACATATCTTATTTGTAGTGCAAAAACACTTTAAAACAATATAATTAAAATGAAGAACAATTTAACAAATATAAACTTATTAGTATTTCAATGGGAAGTGTGGGCCTGCTTTTGGCTGATGAGATAGGATTGTTGTTGTTGTTGTGTGCTTTCAAGGCATTTCAGACTTAGGTTGACCCTAAGCAAGGGCTGGGTAAATGACCTAGGAGGGCCGTATCCGGCCCCTGGCCTTAGTTTGAGGACCTCTGGTCTAGGATTGGGTAATCTCCAATGGTCTCTGTCCCCACCCAAAAAATATTTGCAAATAATGAGGTTTTTAAAGCCTCATTGAAGCAATGGGTGTGAACAATGACATCTACAAGCTACGTATGTAAGCATACTTACCAGGCATGTAGCTGGGGGGGGGGGGGGGCTTGAGGAGCTTCAGCCCCCCCCTCCCGAAATTCTCATGGTGGTTCGCGAAAGGCCTTACTGGTGCATTATTTAAACTGTTATGTTTATTCATATCATGATCTGATCACCATGCTCAATATATCCCATATGCATGGGGGTATTGGGGTAACGATACAAAAGGTTTGCTAGGGTAGACCCTCTTTCACTCAGACTCAGCCCCCCCCCCCCCCCCATCGAAATCCTGGCTACGGGCCTGATACTTACCAACATTTACATATATCCAACCTACCATTTTCCCCTCTTTGTTACATTAAAAAAATCATAAGATAATATCCAAAAATATTTCAATCAAGTATATTTTAACACTTTGATTAATACTTTGATTAACTTGGAAAAGATTTGCCTTTTTCTCAAGCTGCCTATGCTGTTTTCTCCAACTTGCTGTCAAAAATCTATCACTCAAGTTTCACCAAACTGTTTCCCTTTCAAATTCAGGGTAGGTCAGCAGGGATAGGAACAGCAGCAAAAGTGACAACAAACAAGAAAGCAAACTATAGAATCAAAGAGCTGGAAGAGACCTCATGGGCCATCCAGTCCAACCCCCTGCCAAGAAGCAGGAATATTGCATTCAAATCACCCCTGACAGATGGACATCCAGCCTCTGTTTAAAAGCTCCCAAAGAAGGAGCCTCCACCACTGGGGCAGAGAGTTCCACTGCTGAACGGCGCTCACAAAGTTCTTCCTCATGTTCAGATGGAATCTCCTTTCTTGTAGTTTAAAGCCATTGTTCCGCTTCCTAGTCTCCAGGGAAGCAGAAAACAAGCTTGCTCCCTCCTCCCTGTGGCTTCCTCTCACATATTTATACATGGCTATCATATCTCCTCTCAGCCTTCTTTTCTTCAGGTTAAACATGCCGAGCTCCCTAAGCTGCTCCTCATAGGGCTTGTTCTCCAGACCCTTGATCATTTTAGTCGCCTTGATCATTTCTATGAGCCAGAAATACCAGGACCAACAAACAGCATGGTAGACTGAAGTATACTAGAGGGAACTGAGTTTTTAAAAAAATGTTTTAAACACTTAATTTACTTTTAAAAAACCTCAGACTGCAGCTGTGAATATGGGAAAGTTTTACTATGTCCACCCATCCACGCAGACCAATATCTGCACCGGGATTGTGGCGCAGCTGGCTGAGTGTCAGCTGCATTAAGATCACTCTGACCAAAAAGGTCATGAGTTCGAAGCCAGCCCGGGTTGGAGTGGGTTTCCAACCAATTGTGTGTAGCCTGTTGTCGACCTTTGCAACCCGAAAGACAGTTGCATCTGTCAAGTAGGAAAATTAGGTACCACCTTAAAGTGTGGGGAGGCTAAATTAACTGATTTATGAGGCCATAAAAAAAGACTCCAGCAAAGCACTCCAGTGAAAAAAAGCATGCAGGGAATGCAGAAGTACTTCATCAGTGTCGCAGATGGACGATGAAAGCGACAGCTCCCCTGGCGGCCAGAAAAAGTTAAATAGCCTCTGTATATGTTGTATGTTAAAATTGTCATTGAATGTTTCCCATATATGTGTACACTGTAATCTGCCCTGAGTCCCCTGCGGGGTGAGAAGGGCGGAATATAAATGCTGTAAATAAATAAATAAATATTTAAAAGAAACTGGGACAAACGTTTTTAAATCAGCAGATATTCACCGTGTGTCCAAAAATATTTGTAGAATAAATAAAAATTTAAAAGAAACTGGGACAAACGTTTTTAAATCAGCAGATATTCACCGTGTGTCCAAAAATATTTGTAGAGATCTCACTTTTTTCATCCTATTCTGTCATGACATTCACCTCTTCAAGTTTCAGTTAGTATTCATAAGGATTAATATAAATGGGTACCTTTTCTCAGTCTTGCGTCTACCAGCTCAGGAGAAAGGTTTCTATTTGCTCTTGATGTACCAAACGTTTGGGGGTTGGCAATGCTTTCAGGAAAAACAATGTTCCCTTCACATCCTTTCTGCTGAAGCTGCTGCTTGGTGTCACAGCGAATAGAATCTGGTTCTCCTACTTTTGTGAAATTCTGTAATTCATATAAAACATAAAACAAAGTATTATGGTTCATGAGAATAATTTTCAAATTTTCATGGTCAAACAATATTGGAACTAAAAAAATCCACAAAATTGTGGAAAATCTCATGAAGCATCTACACACACCTACATGCACGATCTACCCTAGGTTGGGGACAATGGAGAGAGAGAACAATTGCACTGGTGTCAAAGTCATAAGAGCAGAATGACCAGTTTTAAGATGGAAAAGAATTGCAGCCTTAAAGGGATTAGACTTCACTTCATGTCATGAAGGTTTCATGTTATATCCAGGACTGTAGGGGACAAACACATCACATCAAGTTTCATCAAATCCATTAGAATACTTGAATTTGTCTCCATCCTGAGATAAAAGACACAAAGTACTCAGCAGACAGGAAAAGTTATGAGAAATACAGTAGAAATATAAGAAAACTGGAGACTAATTTGTGGTGATCAATGACTTCCAGATTCCAGGCATAATATTTTTAGACTTTTAAAGAAAATGAGAACACTTTAGACACTTTACATTAGGGACGAGGAAGGTCCAGCACATGGGTAGCATAAAGCCTCCATGGCCGTTTTTATAGTCTCTGTGTTGTTCAAAAACCCAGACCTCTTATCACATTTAGATGAAGAAATTGGGAGAAAGCGCAGGGAACCATGTTGTCCTGTTCCCTCCCATTTTCCCTGTCTTGTGAGATGGTCAGCCATCACACATATTTCTTGTGTCTAAGCCTGTCTTTTCCCCCACTTTCCCAGTTACTTTGTGTAAGAATGAAACTGTGTTACTTTTTTGCCCATAATGCATTGCTTTTCAGTGGAAATTATGACAGTTCCTACTTTTACTCATCACTGGATATGTTCTGAGTCAGTCTCAGCAATGGGAAGAAGAGGGTCATATAAGCAGTTGATCCTGTTGTCTCTTCTGGGCTGTTGTGCAAGCTAGAGTTTTATTATGCCACTTCTTTATGCCACACTATTCTGTTTGAGGTCCATTCCAGCCCATCTCATGAGCTGATGGCTGATGCTCTCTTTCACACTTTTCCTAGATTTGCACTTTAAGAGCATCTTCTGCACATTTAATGGAGCCAGTAACCAACTTCTGTACCTCACTACTCATTTCATGATTGGCATTTAGTTGCTGTTTTGGTCAAACCCACAACAATAGTGGGAAGCCATGCCAAGAACCATGCAAAGATAGGAGGTGGACAGTTACTTTTACTTCTTCACTAGTTTGAAAGGAGTAGATCACATATAGCTTATGTATGTTGCATATATATGCATTCTGAATGCTCTGTATTAGAAATACCCTTTGCTAGTCTATCCACCTAAAAGGCACCAGATATGACCTTTTCTTGGAAGCCCCACTCTCTCAGGATCCCTCTACACATGCCCTAAGATGCGGATGAAACTGGGTTAAAAGGGGAGGATTGGCTAAATGACATTTCACGAAAATGCATGCTGATTCAGATTAACAGCTGAAAAGCACGTATTTAAAAAGTGCACTTCAAACCTGATTCTGGCTGAAAAATGTGCATAGTCGCACAACTGAATATCCTTGCAGGAAAGCATGTGATTTCATTTGAATACCCTGGTGTGGATTGCTCCAGTGCATGCCCGCATTTTAAAATACCAAAACAGCTGATCTAGGCCATAAATATTTATTTATTTATTTATTTACAATATTTATAGCCTGCCTAATGTTGGTTTGTGGGATTAACAGGACTCAAAAACCACTGGACGAATTGGCACCAAATTTGGACACAAGACACCTAACAACCCAATGTATGTCCTTCACTCAAAAAATTGATTTTGTCATTTGGGAGTTGTAGTTGCTGGGATTTATAGTTCACCTACAATCAAAGAGCATTCTGAACCCCACAACGATGGAATTGACCAAACTTGGCACACAGAACTTCCATGACCAGAAGAAAATACTGGAATGGTTTGATGGTCAGTGTCCTTTGGTTTTGGAGTTATAGTTCACCTACATCCAGAGAGCACTGTGGATTCAAACAATGATGGATCTGGACCAAACTCTACATAATACTCAATATGCCCAAATGTGAACACTGGTAGTTGTTGTTGTTGTTCATTCGTTCAGTCGTCTCCGACTCTTCGTGACCTCATGGACCAGCCCACGCCAGAGCTCCCTGTTGGCCGCCACCACCCCCAGCTCCTTCAAGGTCAGTCCAGTCACTTCAAGGATGCCATCCATCCATCTTGCCCTTGGTCGGCCCCTCTTCCTTTTGCCTTCCACTTTCCCCAGCATAATTGTCTTCTCTAGGCTTTGCTGTCTACTCATGATGTGGCCAAAGTACTTCAACTTTGTCTCTAGTATCCTTCCCTCCCCTGGTACACTGGTAGAGTTTCCCTCCCCTGGAACACTGGTAGAGTTTGGGGAAAATAGAATCTTGACATTTGGGAGTTGTAGTTGCTGGGATTTATAGTTCACCTACAATCACAGAGCATTCTGAACCCCACCAACGATAGAATTGGGCCAAACCTCCCACACAGAACCCCCATGTGGGCCACAGCAACGCGTGGCAGGGGACGGCTAATAATAATAATAATAATAATAATAATAATAATAAAAGCAGCTTTATATGTATCCTGTCACCATCTCCCCGAAGGGGCTTGGGGTGGCTCACAGAAAGCACTCAATAGTGCAGCAATATACAATTATGCTATAAAATATGAGATTGAATAAAACATACCAGCTTTTTGCACCAGGCACAACCAGGGCCAGATCGGATGCATTCTTGACATGTTTTTACATTGTATTTGGTGCATTCAAGTGCAAGTGCTTGAGGAGGAGGAGAAAGAAAAACAGTGTTAAGACTAATAATAATTGGTATCAAAGTAGAGAAACATCTTCTATGGCCCCTTCCACACAGCTGTATAAAATCCACATTGAACTGAATTATAAGGCAATGTGGACTCAGATTATTCAGTTCAAAGCAGATATTTGTTACATCCCGTTTAGACTACTGCAACGCTCTCTATGTGGGGTTGCCTCTGAAGACTGCCCGGAAGCTGCAGCTAGTCCAACGCTCGGCAGCCAGACTACTAACGGGTGCTGGGTACAGGGAGCACACCACTCCGCTGTTACACCAGCTCCACTGGCTGCCAATTAGCTTCCGAGCACAATTCAAAGTGCTGGTGTTAACCTATAAAGCCCTAAACGACTCCGGCCCTGTTTACCTCTCCGAACGTATTCTCCCCTATGAACCATCAAGATTATTAAGATCGTCTGGAGAGGCCCTGCTCTCGGTCCCACCGGCCTCGCAAGCGCGTCTGGTGGGGACGAGGGACAGGGCCTTCTCGGTGGTGGCCCCTCGACTCTGGAACTCTCTCCCACTGGAGATCAGAACCGCCCCTTCTATCCTGACATTTAGGAAACAGATGAAGACTTGGTTATGGAGACAGGCATTCGACGAGTGAGCCAACACCCTGAGATATGGATGGAGGATGATGAGCAACGATTTTAGTGTGACGACTGACCATTATAGTTATTGATTGTAATTGCTGTTTTAATGTTTTACTGTAATATGTATTGTAATTGACTTTTACTGTGGTGAAGCACATTCTTAAACAATGTTTCCTGAGGTGAATAGCATCCGATCTCAGCTGAATCGCTAATAAAGAGCCTCGGTCGCCATCTTCTTCCGCTTTGGTGGGATTTATATTATTTTTAATATTTTTATCGCTGGAATTTGACTTTCCTGTTCTCACCAAGGTTTAGGGACCCTCTTTGGTGCGGTCCTCGGGGTCTCCTTCACCAAGGAGACCCTTCCAAAAGCGGTCTCGATATCACCCTCCGATGACAGGGAACTGGGAAATAGATGGGGTAAAAGGCCAAGTCCTAACTGTTGGACCAAGGGCTTGAGATTTGAGACTAGTAATTATCGAAAGCCTAATGAAACCACCAAGTCCAAGTTCTTACGGAAGGAGGTGAGGGATGGGGCCAGCCTTATCTCCTTGGACAGGACATTCCAGAGGCAGGGGGCCACCACTGAGAAGGCCCTCTCCCTCGTCCCCACCAACCGAGCTTGCGACGGTGGTGGGAGCGAGAGGAGGGCCTCCCACCGCTGGTTCATAGAGGGAGATCGCAGAGATAGGCGGGGCCTGAACTGATTGGGTTACTTTGGATGGGTGACAGGACCCGTCTACACTGTCATATAAAATCCAGATTATTTGCTTTGAGGATCTGGGTTATATGGCGGTGTAGAAGAGGCTTTAGAGGGAGGCAAAGACAAATCTTCTAGGATCAAAGCATGCCAAGGGAATCCTATGCTGGGATCACCTTAGTGTTGTGATAAATCAGAAATGATCTGAAGGCACTAAGCAACAATCCTTGCTTATGTTAATTCTCCCCAAAGGGGATATCCAACTTTTCTTCCATTACTAGTTGCAGCACTGATTTGTACTATAGTGTGGCCACAATGTTAAAATGCTTTAACATTATTTTATTTCAATGGGCTTCAGAAGAACCCCTATGAATTTGTCATCATTAACATGCTTCCTTCCAAAATTCCAAGAGAATCCACCTATACTGTTTCAACATAATTGCACTGTTTCAGCATAATAGGAGCCCCCGGTGACGCAGTGGGTTAAACCTCTGTGCCGGCAGGTCGCAGGTTCGAATTTGGGGAGAGCATGGATGAGCTCTCTCTCTATCAGCTCCAGCTCCCCATTATGGGGACATGAGGGAAGCCTCCCACAAGGATGGTAAAACATCAAAACATCCAGGCGTTCCCTGGGCAAAGTCCTTGCAGGTGGCCAATTCTCTCACACCAGAAGCAACTTGCAGTTTCTCAAGTCACTCCTGACACGACAAAAAAAAAAAAAAAAGCCTAATTGCAGCAAGTACCATCTCACCTGTTGTCAGGAACAGCAGCTCAGCTCCAAATAGCAAAAGCAAGCATTTGGGACGCATTTCCTGTGAAATGTAAATGATACAGAATGAAAAGACTACTTGGAGTTGTGTCTTTAAAACACGTTACAAAGCATGCATGCAGCTATGGAACTCAGCTGTACCAAAACAAACATGTGGAATGAAAAGTAAAATGTATGCAGTATGTGTAATGTAGTAAGGACCTTCTCTCATTAAGTGAGGGATTCACCATGTATCTTTGCAAAACCATGGGGTCCCGGCGGGGGGCATGGAGAACTGATTTCCCACTGGAGGGGCGGGAGTGTCTACCACCCAGCTTCCCCCATTGTAGTAAAGGCAACACAAGAAGCATCCCATGTTGCTTTCAAAGCACCGTGCCACCCAGCCGAAAGTAGATGTGCATCGTGTAATGGGCTCCTTGGCGAAAGGGGCGAGGAAGTGGCATACAATGGGCAAATCAGCTCATATGATGAGTTTGTAAGATACCTGTAATCACAGAACCCATCCCCACAGTTTAACTTACGTGCAACCTGGAGAAAATGGTTTCTTCAGGACACGTGTAAAATTCAAGGCATGTGTGCTAAATCTGGCCAGCTATGTCATTTTATGCAGCCCTCTAGATGCTGCACTACAGGGTGCAGCAGCATAACTTTCTTTTTTCAAAACTTAATAAAACCCATTGTATGAAACAGAATGTTTTTTATAATGTAGCCGCATACCTAAAGTTTTGTTTTATGTAGTTTTGAAGATCAAATTAGATAGGTGACGTCCCCCATTCTCCATTCTCCATACACTGAGTAAACCGATTTCTGCCGTTTGTCATGACTCTTGCCAGCATAGTGACCCCGAGAGCGGCAGAGGCCCCCGCCTTCAAATTGGTATGAACCGCAGCGGAGAGTTCCGCAGTTCCTGGGAGCCAAGTTTGGGACCAACTGATGGAATGAGCCCCAGTAGACAGCTCAAAACCTAGGACTGCACTCAGCCTTCTATCACTTTCCTCCTCTCCTTACTTTGTAACAAATCCCTAATAAAGGTACTTAAAATTTGCAACTTTTAACTTTTCCGTTTGATACTTTGTGTCCTTTGCTGCCTGAGCTAACCTAAGCATGAAATAAACCTCTTTCTAGGCTCCGGGCGACTGCGGGCCTGCCTGGGATGCCTTCTGGGTGTCCCGGGGAGGCCGAATCTGCGTCAATTGGAACCGCGGATACGGAGGCCTTCCTATTGGGCCCCGTATCCGCTAAAATCTCAAAATGGCGGATCGGCCTCGTTTTAATGCCATATTTTTCTTTACTCGATTCTTAACTAAACTGCTATCTTGCTTTTCTCATTTTGAATCCCTACGCCCGTGAAATAATTGTTTTGTTTTAAGAAATAAAATTTGACAGAAAACAGCTGATTGTCAAACTCTGCCGGCACGGCGCAAGCAGTCCATTTCTCTTTGTTGCCGTTCATTCCTGCCTAGCCCCGCAACCGGGACTTGCTGCAGATGCCCCCAGGAGACCTCAGAGAGGGGGCCGGGCAGGGAGCCCAGTCCTTGGGAAGGAGTTGTAGTTCCCCAAGGACCAAGCTATGGATTTTGCTACAGATCAACACTGCGCCCAGCTGCTGACATTAACCAAGGAAAAATGGCTTTCTGCTGTTTGTCTCGGACTGCAAGCCACCTCCGTTTCCACGAACTTTCCCCAGGAGCATGGGACTTCAAGTTTTCAAATAAAAATCAATTATTTTATTAAATGATTAAGATGTGGGGTGGGAATGGGGTTTTCCTATATGAATTTTGTATTAATGATAATGCATGAAGTATCGCTTGTTTCCCACCTTTCCCCTTGCCCTTTGCCCTAGAAAATGTGACCAAGGATTGTTGGAATGCCCGAGGGAGGACCCCTGCCTCCCTCGAAACTTATTTTGATTCTTTCACATCTGCATTGACAATAGCAAATTTAGATTTCCTTTCCCGCTCTCTGAGTTCGTCTGGCGGGCGAGGAAGTCTAGTTGGACACTCTGATTGATTTACAAAGGACAGGAACGACCCCTGGGGTCCCCTGTCCCGATCCTGTTTGTTCTCTCTACCAAAACCCATCAAGGACAGGAAAACCTTTTCTTGTAAAGATCACACCTAGCTGGCCAAAAACAAAGCCTCACATTCCAGCTGGCCGGCTATCAATAATCCCATCATTTCCCCCATTGTCCGCGGTCGTCCTGCCTTCTCTCTTCTGATTCGTCCATCCTCGGAAGTGAGAGGAGCGCGCCGATTGGCCCTCCGGAGGCGGAGAAACTCGCTGATTGGCCCAGAGCAAGGCGGGCCGCCAAGCCTCCTCCCAGCTGTTCGGGCTGTCAACCAATCAGCGTGAAGCCGGGAGGAGAGGGGCGGGCGGGAAATTCAAAATGTTTTGCTGTGTTTTCTCTATAAAAATGCTTGTAAATTCTGTAGCGGTATGCTTTTAGAGGAAATATCCCTACACTTGCAACCGATTACAGCTGAATCACAAATAAAGACCCCTCGGTCGCCAACTTCTTCCGCTTTGGTGAGGATTTATTATTTTAAATATTTTTGCTGCTGGAATTGGCTTTGCTGCCCTCACCAAGGTTCAAGGACTCTCTTTGGTGCGGTCCTCGGGATCTCCTTGGCTGGGGAGACCCTCCTAAAAGAGGCTCGATATCAATAGCAGGTGTTATGTTGGCAATTTCTTTCCAGATGTTGGTCTTCAAATCTTGTAGGGTCCTTGATGGTTCACATAAACATGGGATTTCAAAAAACCCCATAGAAAAAAATCACAAGGGCCAAATCTGGAGAGCGGGTCGGCCACTCCAAATCCGCTCGAAAAGTAGGCCTCAATGGCAAAAGCATGCTCCTCACTGTTCCAACGCATGATGGCACTGAACTGTGTCAGGACAAAACTTTATACTCCCGCCTCTCGAACGAGACCACTAGCGCTCCGCTACGTCTTCAACCGACTGAATGGCACACTTTTTAAAAAAGGAAGTTATGCTGCCTCACCCTGTACAACTCCTGTATTCCTCATCATTAGACATCACGACTAGAGCTGATGGAGGTCTGATTCAGTAGCATCTGGAAGACTACTATTTGCTCTAATCAGTCAGGATTGTGGGGTTTGAATTGAGATACAAAGCTTGAAGAAAGTGCAAAAGCTGGGTTGCAGTTAAACATACAAAAACCCCAAGATTCTGGCAACCGGACTGATCGAGAATTTGCAAATAGAGGGAGAAAACATGGAGGGAGTGACAGACTTTGTATTTCTAGGTGCAAAGATTACTGCGGACGCAGACTGCAGCCAGGAAATCAAAAGTCGTTTACTTCTTGGAAGGAGAGCAATGACGAATCTCGATAAAATAGTGAAGAGTAGAGACATCACACTGGCAACGAAGATCCACATAGTTAAAGCAATGGTATTCCCCATAGTCACCTACGGATGTGAGAGCTGGACCATAAGGAAGGCTGAGCGAAGGAAGATAGATGCTTTTGAACTGTGGTGTTGGAGGAAAATTCTGAGAGTGCCTTGGACCGAGAAGATCCAACCAGTCCATACTTCAGGAAATAAAGCCCGACTGCTCATTGGAGGGAAGGATATTAGAGGCAAAGATGAAGTACTTTGGCCACATTATGAGAAGACAGGAAAGCTTAGAGAAGACAATGATGCTGGGGAAAATGGAAGGAAAAAGGAAGAGGGCCCCTTTTCTCGCCCCTTTCACCATGCCACCCAGCCAAGGGCAAGGTGGATGGATGGGATTCTTGAAGTGACTGGCTTGAGTCTGAAGGAGCTGGGGGTGGTGAAGGCCGACAAGGAGCTCTGGCGTGGGCTGGTCCATGAGGTCACAAAGAGTCGGAAGCAACTGAATGAATAAACAACAACAACACAAAGCTTGTGGATATGAAGTCTACCTTGAATATATCCTTTAACCTTCCAAGAATCTCAGAGCCACAAGTGCTGTGGGGTTTCAGTTCCCATATATCCTCAGTCTACATGACAGATTGGTCCATGGTCATGGTCCACGGTGTTGAATGCAGCTGTGAGGTCCAAGAGTACCAATAGCGCAGACCAAGGCGGATCAGCGCTATTGGTACTCTTGGACCTCACAGCTGCATTTGACACTGTGGACCGTGACTTGCTGATTCATCGATTGGCTACGTCTGGTGTACGAGGTTTAGCCCTGAAATGGACCGGAGACAGAGGGTGGAGTGGTCAGGCTAAAGCTTTGAGAGCTCCTGCCTTTGCTGTGGAGTTCCCCAGGGTGCTATCCTCTCGCCCCTGTTATTTAACATCTACGTCCGGCCACTTGCTGGACTGGTGCGGAGCTTTGGCATAGAGTGCTACCAGTATGCAGATGATACCCAGCTACTCTCGCGTCTCGAACCTGGGACAACCGCGATTCCTGAGAACTTTAGGCTGTGTTTGGAAGCAGTGATGAGTTGGCTGTGAGCGAGCAGACTAAAAGTGAATCCTGCTAAAACTGAGATCTTCTGACCAGAATTAATCCAGTCTCTGCCTGATTTCGATGGGGAAGCTCTGGTTCCATCTGCCACTGTTAAAAGCCTTGGGGTTGTGTTGGATTCATCGCTGATGATGGAGGCCCAGATCACTGCCATAAGTAAGCAGGCCTTTTTCATCTTCGCCAGGCAAGGAAATTGGCATCCTACCTTTCGGTAGAAGCATTGGCAACGGTAATCCACGCAGGTTGGACTATTGCAACGCCTTATATGCCGGCCTTCCAAAGTCAACAACTCAGAAGATTCGGATGGTCCAAAATGCGGCGGCCAGGCTGCTAGCGGGATCATCTATAAGATCCCATATTACACCGATTCTACAACAACTGCATTGGCTACCAATAGAACATCGGATCTCTTACAAGATACTGATCCTGACATTTAGAGCTCAAAATGGCCAAGGACCGTCTCATTCCTTTTCTCCATCAGTGGTCACCTCGATCCACCCAGGAAAATCTCCTATACATACATATAGGGAGGTACACCTGGAAGCTACAAGGCGTAGAGCTTTTTCGACCTATGCTCCAATTCTGTGGAA